TATATATATATATATAAAAGATTGGTCAAGAGTTGGAGGGTCTTAAATAAATAAGTAGCTTCTGTGTGCGTACACGCACAAACATTTGAGCACATCAATCTTGTATAAAGAAAAAGTTTACAAAAAATGATGTAGCAAAAGAGGAATGTAAAGAGACAATTTTGTATAGGACATATATTAACACATTTGATTGGATGAATAGACCCACTATCAGTAAAAAAAAAAATATCTAATTTCCCTTTTACAATGTCCAGAATCAATCGAGTAGCTCAAGTAATTTGATAGTCCAAAGCCAACTTTAGGATCATTTTCCGAACCCTAAACAGGCCAACATGGAAATATTTAGTTATTTTAGTTAATACTAACATGCATATATACTGCCCTAGTTCATTTGGCATTGGACCATAATTTCCAATCACATGCTGTAAAACCAGTGGCAATTGTCTTGTCCAAGTACATGTGCTTCCATCATGCTCCTATGTACTACAGTATGCCCCTTTGGTCCATCTTATTGTTCCTATGTATAGCATGCACTTCACCTCATTATTTGGACGCCCTATATATAAATCAACATACAGGTTAAAGGCCTAAAGCCGAAGTTAATTGAAAAATTAGACTTGATTATGACTGTTGAGTCTGTGTTGTTCAAATTATGCATGTGTTAAATTGCACAAGAGTATTATACATCATGGAAAATATGTAAAATGTTATTCATTTTAGTTTTTAATTAATATCATTATAAAATATAGAAAAAAAAAAACAACTAAAATGAATGACAAATATGATTGAATTGAAAGTTTTCTAAAGTAAGTTACTAAAATAATGCATGCTAACAAATCTAAAGACTAAAGTGAGAATTTGCTCAAATTTTGAAGTTAATGTGCAGTTTATTATTATTATTATTATTATTATTATATAGATTCTCCTTCTGCAAAGAGTGTTGACTATCTATATATGGCATAACAGCAAGGGTGTATTAGTATATATATCTTTTGTCACCCCCATGAAATATCTCTTTCTGGTCTTAATGTGTATACAGTGGGCACATTTCCCTCACATTCACTTTGCTGGATTAAAGCTGGATGGCAACAACAAGCAAGCAAAGTTGGACCAGGGTGAAGGAGCTGAAAAGTCTAATGGATTCTACTGATATATATAAATGGAAGCCTGTGAGTATGAGCTTGTTTTTTTCATGCTTGACCTAAATCAGTGAAAAAATGAGGTTCATCATATTTCCCAATCGTACAACTGGATGCATGGGAGACTCCTGCAATTTACCTCAGCCTCTCACCAATGTTTAATATTTATATATATATAGTACATGTATTGCCCTTTTCTATCCTTGTTATGAAATTATTGCTATTCTTGTGATTGCATTTATTGTCTTGAATTTGAGCACTTAAGTAAACAACACCTTCCTTTATTATATAATTAATGATCATAATCTATAGTGTTGTCCGAGTATGTTTTCAGTCTTTCTTTAGATATTAATTTTGAATACATATAAAAAAATATATATTGTTACTTTTAGTTTTGTATACTATATTTATTTTATTCTTTTTATGATAAGCAAGCAAACCTATATAATTTCACCCTCTCATAGGACCACATGAAAACTTTTTTCATTTTTGAGAAGGTTACCGTTTGACCATTTTTGGGTATATGGTGCTTCCTCCCGAGGAACTCTTTTAACCACCATGTTGCATTGTAGTTGAATAAATAAATTCAAGTGTGTGATTGTATTTACTCTTTAATTGATTCTTTTTTCTTTCTATTTTCTTCCTGGACCATTTTGTTCAGTTAATGGAGTACAGCCCCATTAAAAGAGCAACATGTAGTGCAGGTTCTGCATGCATGATCACCTGCCACACTCGCAGAACTCAGTTTGTTTTTAAGCCTCTAAGTAAAAAAGGAATTGTATAGAAAGGAGTGAGAAAAGAGAACCCTAATTTCCTTTCGATCTCTTCATAAAATCAAAGCACATCTAACTTAGATTAAAAACTAATAAAACAATAGGTGCAGTTAGCCAAGCTAGGAAAAAAAGTAGCAAAAGAAAAACTGACATAATAATGAAGCATCATTAGAGATATAGTTGCACCAGTAAAAAGGATCGTAATGTAGTCTTTAACAATCCACCAAAAAAAAAAAAACAAGTCTTTAACATCAGTATATCATTTTCTTTATATATTTAGTTGGGCATACAATTCTAAACAAGAGAACAATTATATATATATATATATATATATATATATATATATATAATATTATAGCATTTTTTTTCATTTAACATACTCTTTATTATTTGTTAAAATTTATTAAAATTATAAGTAAAACTTACAAAATTTTATAATTTTTAATAAATTTCAGTCAATAAAATATTTAAAAAAAAGTATTAGAATGTGTTGTGTTAACATTTATCTAACAAAAAATATATCTTCCACTAATCCCAAAATTTTAGTGTTCCAAAATGATGAAACTCTTTAATTATAATTAATATACTAAACTATTTGTTTCAATGATTAAAATTTAATATTCATGTATTCAGATATATTTCATTTTTCCCCCAAACTAAGCAACTCAATCAGAAAAATAAATGATGAATCCAGTTTGTTGGCGTGCATTGATGTAGATCTGCTTCCTTTTGGCCTTATATATGCGTATCCGTATTACCACAATTAATTCCATTTAATTTTCATCTTCTACTTTTACAATTATAAATAAATAAATAAATAAATAAATAAATAAATATATATATATATATATATATATAAATAGATTAATTTTGATATTATATCAGTGTAAAGTTTTTTTTATACAATAAATTAGTTAAAAACCATTCTATAAATAATATTTTAAAATGATTATTATAAAAACCAATAACTAATTTTACAATATATAGCACTCTATAGTTAAATGACAATATAAAAAAAAATATGCTGAAAGTTTATTTTAAGGTCATATTTATGTATGCACACCTTACATGTGTGGATATGTATATATATTTTGATTACATGGGAGATACTCACATTGTATAGATAAAAACTTGTGTAGGTTGAGTATTCCTTGTAATATTTATCTTCTTTCTCAATAAAATCCTTTTCTGCTGTAAAAAAAACTGTTAAATATCCATTTGTGTGTTATATAATTGTAGAAGTAGCACGATATTATAATACTTCATAATCATACACATAATCACAAGTGCATAGAAGGAAACTTATTATGCGCATTATTTTGAATTAATACTATAAATGCTAAACATTAAGAATGAAACATAGGCCATTGTTTTGTTAGTATAAAGAATGAAACATATTGCGAGTATAGAGATTTTTTTTTACTATTAATCAATTAAAAATATTCAAAGTGTGACCTTTTAAATTATAGCTGATATAAAATTTAACAATCTTATAGTGTATGATTGTCTATTATTACATAATAGTGTGAAAACTTTATCATAACCATACATTTATATCAAATTAATATATACTAGTGATATCATCTAAAACATTCTTGTTCTAATAATCTTATTATTATTGATTGAAATTTATTAAAATAAATATTAACAAATTATAAGAGTGTTAAAAAAAAGTATTGTTAACAATTTTTTTCAAATTATTATGTACATGTAGATTTTTTTTATAAAAATAAAACTAAGAAAGCATAGGAAGTTTTTTTTTTTTTACAGAAAAAAAAACGTAGGATGTTGAAGGGTGTAATTAATATATGATTATAAAGTGTGAAAAATGCGCGTGAGTCATAAATTGATGACTGTGTTGAAGCAGAATATTGGATGGTACCTTACCCTACTCAGGAAGACTCTTGAAATTATGAAAAACTACTATTGCTTCAGTCATGGTGACGTGACGTATAATGTTTGACACAGTAGAGCGTGTGGCTATATACGGTTATGACATGCATGCTTATTCAAAATGCTACTATTTGACCATTTCCTAAATCTAATATGGGTCATGCCTGTCTTTTGATGCTAATGTTTGATCCTTCGTTCAAGGAACGCACACGTGAGAGACATGTATGTTTGCTGCATAAGTGTTCTTCACAGAAAGCTGCACAACACACAAACCTCATCACATAATATTATATATCCCATTCGTAATAGACATGTGGGGTTTTACGTTATGCTCACTTAGTATTATAATATATATACTTTCTTTTCTAGATTTTATTTACTTATACAATGTGTAATTTGTCCAAAATGTTCATATAAAAAATATGCATGTTATTCAGTGATGATAACTTGATCAATTTCCATTGAACTTGATCAATTTAACGTCTTTTTTCATAATTAATATCACAAAAAGCAAATAAAATACAGTTTTTGTTATTGTTAATTGTTTGTTCATTTAAACTGATTTTTTTGGACAAGGATTTAAACTGATTTTGACACCCTTTAACAAGGATTTAAGTTAATGGTCATTTAGGAAGCTTTAGGAAAGCTAGATATTGAAATGTAAGGAGGGTTTTAATTCTTTTCTAATAAGGTCAACCTTTAAAGGTTTTTTTTTTTTCTTAAAAGAAAAAGAAGACAGGTTCTTTTATTTTAAAATATTTATTACTTCAAAAATAGTTTGTTTTGAACTTGTTTAGAGGATAAAAATAAAGAAAAAAGTTTACAATAACTAAAATTAAAATTTATTAATTCTGTAAAGACTAAAAGTATATTTAGATTAATTATTTTTTAATAATCTATAAGTATACTTTGAAATTTCTATTAAGTCAAAGAGAAAACATTAGAGTGAAAGAATAATATATTTAAATATATTTTCTGAATAAGGTTACTTAATGATTATCATGAAGAATCTTAAAAATATTTTTAGAATAAAAAATTAGGGGAATATATTTTATGGAAATAAGTTTACTACAAAAAAAATTATGTCACTATACATATTGTATAGTGACACAATATTATCATTAAAAATTATTTTTATCTATACTATAAATATAATATATGTTGGTATATTGTTAAAAATTGTAAATATATATTATAATGATATATAATATATGTTTTTTAAGCAATATATAATATATATTAAATTTTATTTAAAATTAACACTAAAATTATATATAATTAATTATATATCAAATTAATTTATATTAATATATATTATATTTATAATCATAATTTTTGTAGCCTACTATATATAATATTTATTGTAATGATTTTGGTATCTAAACGAGCTTCTTAGAAGAGTTATTTTTCTTGTAAAAAAAAAGAGTTATTTTTTAATTAGCTTTCCCCCCTAATTAATCCAACCTTTGCACTCCTTTAGATCTCTTTCTCTGTATCCTCTCTCTCTTTCTCTCTTCTTCAAAACCATCTAATAGTGTGATTAATAAGTAAAAAGTAAGTGTACGATTCCTTTCATGCAATAATCAATAATGTTAAGTTTTTCCTCTCTTAATTTAAATATTATATTTTTAAAAAATAGAAAATATTTAATTTTAAATAAGTTTTAAAGAAACTTAGTGTAAGTTCAAGTTAATTCACAAATACCTTAAATTTATATTAAATGATTATAAATCAATTTTAAGAATTAACAAATTGACCCTTAATAAATTAGATGTCTCTTTTATTAATAAAAATATTACTTCATCCGCTTTACCTTTAACATTTAGAAAAGTTTCAAAATAAATAATATATTTGTTAATATTAATTATATTTTTTTTATTATAAATTATTTAATCATTACAGTTAAAAATAATACATTTATTAATAGAAAAACTATTTAAGTAACATTATATAAAAATGATTTTTTTATGTCCAAGTTATTATGAAAAGAATAGGAAACAATAAAAGTCAAACATATGTTGCCGTTCTAAAATAACTTTAATTTTAACATTTAGAGATGTTTGTGAAAATATATTATTTTCACATTTTAATGTAATATTAATTATATTTTTTATAAATTATTTAATCATTACAATTAAAAATAGTACATTTATTAATAAGAAATTTTTTATTAACATTGTATAAAAATGATTTTGTGTAGTAGTTATTAAAGAACAGTAAACAATAAAAATCAAACATATTATGGTTCTTTTACATTAATTCTTACTCAATGAGTGCTCTTAATTAACTTTTTCATGAAAATTCATTCCTAAATTTTTACCTACTTTATAGTGACATTGACATACCAAACTCACCCTTAATAGTAGTAAATATTTCTAACTACTTCCAATGTTCATTAAATATTACAAACATCACAAGATTACAAGCATGGTCTGATGGTAGGATATAATTATAGTTATAAGAAATAGTCCTAATAATAAGAAGAGTTTGTTTGTTTGTTTGTCTGATGGGAAGAGGTCAAATATAGAGAATCTGAAAGGTCAAATCAAAGAGGTAGGTGGGGTTAATTGGATCCATGTGTGTCTCTCAGAAATTAGGTCTTGTCTGATCGATATGGGTGACTTGACTTTATCTTTCACTGCAC